GGCTGCTCAGCTCGGGCTGACTCGAACCACTGTTGCTCAGAGCTCAAACTCTTGAGCGAGCTCTTAACCAACTGAGCCACTCAGCCGGCCCTATGTACACATTTTTAAAAAGGAAAAAATTGTATTAAGATTGTAATAATATATACCGATAACAAAAGATGAATACAAGTCTTGTGTATACATTTGTTTGGCACCCCCAGTACTGGAGATGGATGGTGCTGATGGTTGTACAATAATGTGAATGTACTTAATGCCGCTGAACTGTACACTTGAAAACAGTTAAAATAGTAAATTTTATGTTATGTATATTTTACCACAGTAAAAAAGAAATAATAATTACTGGAAAAATAGAAAACAAAGATATAGAAAGTACAACCCCAAACTTCTTACTCTTAGACTCAACAGGTATCATAATAAATTTCAGTAAATATATTCAAAACAAATATAACATAGGACAACAAAAGATTTATGAAACTGTATCTGTTGTTTATTGAAAATGTAACTATAGGCAATTAATTGCTATTATATTTGTGACTTTTTTGTTCTGAAGTTATTACTAAATAAAAAGTAATAAGTTAAGGGCCCGCTGAGTGGCTCAGTTGGTTAATATTGGGTCGTCGGGAAAGTCATGATGCATTTTTGCATTGAAAAACAGAAAAATACATCATGACTTTCCTGATGACCCAATAGTTAGCTTAAAAGCATGAGCTCTGAGCAACAGGGCCACCGGTTCAATTCCCACATGGGCCAGCGACACTGTGCCCGAGCTGAGCTGCCACTGAGCTGCCAACAGGTGGCAAGATGGCTTAGCTGGTGAGAGCACGTGCTCCTAACAACAAGGTTGCCTGTTCCATGGTGGGCTATGTCCACCTGCAACTAACACTGAACTCGGCATCTTGAGCTGAGCTGCTGCCTGAATGGCTCAGTGGATAGAGCGTGTGCTCTTAACAACAAGGCTGCTGGTTGAACTCCCGCATTGGATGGTGGCTATGCCCACCTGCAACTAAGACGGAACTCAGCATCTTGAGCTGAGCTGCTGCCAGGATGGCTCAGTGGATAGAGCGCACGCTCTTAACAACATGGCTGCTGGTTCAACTCCCTCATGGGATGGTGGCTACGCCCACCCACAACTAAGATTGTAACAGCACCTTGAGTTTAGAGGCCATGAGCTGCTGACGGGCGCCCTCCACAACTAAGACTGAAGAACAACAGCTTGGCTGCCCCCCTCCCCAATTCCCCAACACTATTCCCCTCCCCCAATACCCCAATTAAAAAAAAAAGTAATAAGTTAAATGGTGACTCTTTATATTAATGCCTATAGGTGCACACTGAATGAATACCCCATATGTCAATATTTAAAGTTTTTAATGTGACAAATGAGCTTGGTTCCTGCTGTTAAATGATCTAATTCTAGGTTGGATTGATGACCATGCTACTGGAAAGAGATTAATGTATATCTAAACAGGTTCTATGTGTCTCCTTAATAACTCTCCTGGTTATATAAGGAAACCAGTCTTACTGACGTATATTGATGAGAATGCAAAAGCGATTTTAAAGCAAGTTGAGTATGTTAATTTGTAACTTTTATCTAAAATAAAGCACATCTTGCTATATTTTTTAAATGTATCATCAGTAACTAGGTCTAACAACTTATCTTGTAAGATTATAGTTAAATTTATCCTTTGACTTAAGAAACGGATTCTAGATGTGTGATTTCCTATGTATGGATATTCTTTTTAATAGATATTAAAATTCAAAACGTTCTATCAGATTCTTAAGGTACTTGGTGCAAAATCAAGATACTCACTTATTTTGTTGATAATTATTCATAAATCACTGGGCTGCTTTTCTCTTTCTCAGTATTATCATTTATTAGTACCTGCTGACTTAAATGCCCGCCATGATTAAGAGGGCAGATCCTGGAGTCAGAATGCGAGGGTTCAAATCTCAGTTCGGCCACTTACTACCTTCATGTCCTCAAGCAGATTACTTATCCTCCTTGTGCTCATCCTCATCATCAATCATGTGTAAATTCAGGAGTACTTATCTCCCAGAGTTGTCATGACAACTACAGGAGATAAAATATATAAAACTCCTCCAACAGTGCCTGTTACACTGTAAAAGCTTAGGGAAAGTTTCTTGTTGTGTTGTTAACTGTTACTGTTGTTATTGTCGTTGTTTTGAGAGCCTCTCAATTTTGCAGCAAACGGCTCTGCATTGGAGCGCCTACTACAACAACCCCGAGCATGTGAAGCTGCTTATCAAGCATGACTCCAACATTGGGATTCCTGATATCGAGGGCAAAATCCCGCTGCACTGGGCAGCCAACCACAAAGATCCAAGCGCGGTGCACACAGTGCGATGCATCCTGGTGGGTACAGTGGTGCTGCCAGACATGGACGGACTCTCCAAATACATTGTTTCCTGTGAAATATCCAGTATACACAAAAGCATATGCTGTACATGACACACAAGCAAATTAGGAAGCAAAAGAATACAACACACGTGAACCCATCACTCAAGAAATGAAACATTTTAATACCGCCAACCACATAGAAGTTTTCTGTTATGTACCAGTTTCCAAATGCATCCTCTCCCCATGCCATGCTCATTTCAGTCCCCCACCAAATACTTTCCTGAATTTCTATTTATCATCCCCTGACTTCGTTTTATACTTTTTTTTATTAAATAGTGAAGAGATATGAGTGAATATTTTTGAAAGACATGTAAGATGTTAGGAATAAGGAAACAACAAATATGCTTGTATCCGTCGCTGAGTTTAAGAAAAAGTACATTCCCATTACGTTTCAAGTCCCCGGGGTACCTACCTCCCAGTACCATCCTGTTCTCTTCTTTCTCAGCGGTAAACACTATCCTCAGTTTGGGGTTTATCATTTTACTGATTTTCATTATAGTTGTACCACATATAATCATGTCCCTAAACAATATGCAGTTTAGTTTTTAATGTTTTTGAATTTTATATACATAGAGCCATATTTTATGTATTTTTTTGCAACATGATTTTCTTGCTCAATATTATGCTGGTGATTTTATTTATATTGCTGTGTTTAATTGTACTATATTAATTTTTACTGCTATATAGTATCTCATTTTATGAACAAAACACACATTATTCATTGTTATTGACAGACATTTGGAACTGTTCCAGGGTTTTTGCTGTTTACAAACAGTGCTGCTTTGAACTTTTTTTTTTTTTTAGTATATCTATGGGTATATATTTAACTGGTTGTAACATGTGTATAGAAATGCAATTGATATTTTTGCTTATTGATTATATAATATATCTAACCAACTTACTGTACTTTTTTACTAATTTTGAATATCAGGAGATTTTTTTGGGGGGGTTGGGGGGCGAGTTCTAACTTAACAGATTCCAATTTACATGCTATGGTAGTTTCTTTTTTTTTTTTTTTCAAAGAAATTTTATTGGGGAACAGTGTGTTTTTCCAGGACCCATCAGCTCCAATTCAAGTAGTTGTCTTCAGTCTAGCTGTGGAGGGCATAGCTCCGTGGCCCATGTGGGAATCAAACTAGCAACCTTGGTTTTATGAGCCTGCGCTCTAACCACCTGAGCTAACCGGTCACCCGAATAGTTTCATATTTTGTCCTATTTTCTTACAACACAAATTAGACTTTAAAAGATATTATTTGTGTATACAAGGGTTATTTATTTTGATGTACATGTTAACTAATTTCTTTGCTCTTCATTTGTTTATGAATCTCAAATTTTCCTCATCGAGTTATCATCTTGCTTCCTTAAATATAAATCTTAGAACTTCCTTATTGTAGATCTATTGATGGTAAATGCTCTGTTTTTAATTGTTAAGAATGTCTGTATTTCTCTGTTGCTCTCGAGTATTTAGTTTTCCTGTATACACAATTCTAGGCCATTACTTCTCTCAACTCTTTCAGGCTATTATTTTGCTGATTTCTGCCTTTCATTGTTCCTCTTATGGAGTCTGGTATTGGTCTAATTGTCATTCCTTAGAGATGATTTGTCTCTCCTCTCAGTCTGCTTTTAAATTCTTCTCTATCTGGCAGTCTACAGTTTTGCCACAGTGTGTCTAGATGTGGCTTTTTTCCCCCCCTTGTTTGGTTTACATTCTGACTATTGCATCTCAGTTCTGGAAAATATGTAGCCATTATCTCTTTAAATATTGACTCTTTTTCATTCTCTCTACTCTTGCCTTTATGGTCTCTAATTATACATATTTTATTTTATTTTATTTATTTATTTTTTTAAAGATTTTATTGGGGAATTGGGGGAGGGAAACAGTGTTGGAGAATCAGGGAAGGGGAACAGACAAGTTGCTGTCCTTTTTGTTCTTCAGTCTAGTTGTGGAGGACATCGCTTCACTGGCCCAATGTTGGTATTATCATTGCGCTCTTCCCTGGTGAGGCAATCGGTCGCCGGCCACTGGACAGCCATTCACGGTGGCTCATGAAAGCTCATGCCTGCTGCCAACCAGCCCCACTGCAGTCTATGCTGTCACCAGCGACTCACGGCAGCCCAGCTCCAGGTCAAGCTGTTGTTCACCATCTTAGCTGTAGAGGGCGCAGCGTCACTGGCCCTCATGTGGGATCCAAACCTGGGCCCTGCTGTTCAGAGCTGGCATCCCAAGCCAACTCCTAACCAACACGCCACTCGGCTGGCCCTAATTATACATATTTTAGACCTTCTTATTTTATTGTCCATGTCTCTTAACGTCTCTTTTACGTTTCTATCATCTTCTCTCTCTCTCTGCTCTGTTCTGAGTAAGTAAACCAGATCTGTCTTCCAGTTGACTAAGTCTTTCTTCAGCCGAATCCAATCTCTTGTTTACCATATTCATTGAATCTGTAATCGTAGTGATTATATTTTCACTTTTAAAAGTTCTATTTGGTTCTTTTTCAAATCTACCTGGCCATTTTGATAATTTTTGTTCCTTGCTCACTTTTTATTTCATTTTTTTTACATGTTTCATTGATAGTTATTTTATATTCTTTATGTGTTAATTCCAATATCCAAAGTCCTTGGAGGATAATTCTCAGTCATAATATCTTATTTCCTCACAGATTTGCCACTTTTTTTCTTGTAAACATATCTTAGTCCTTGGGAAACTCAAGGACCTAAAATACTATTGTGGTAATATTCTACTTCTTTTTTTTTTGAAGCCTCTATAATACTTTCATACTGTTTTTTGTAAAATAGGCTGACTGTACAGTCAACTCTAATGGCCCTTCAGAGAGTTCTCAAATTGAGGCAAGAGGACTTGGCTTTGGATATGACCCAATTTGAGAAGGTCATGACCTTGGGTGAGATAACTCTGTAGCTGAAGCAATTCCAGGTTGTTGAGGGTCATCTGTTGGCAGTACTCCCAGCAGATGGGGAAATAAGCCCTTTAATGTTGGAGGGGAACCTAAGCAGTGCATCATAATACCTGCTACAAATATCCAGTAGAAAAATGGATAAATGTTGTGAACTGTCAGTTTACAGAGAAATAAAACCGAATAGTCAATGAACATATGATAAAAAAAAAATCTCAACCTCATCTATAAAATACAAATTAAAACACCAGTGAAATGCCTTTCATACCTATAAGGAAAAAATGTAGTAAGCTTGATAATACCAAATGGTTTATTTGTACCAGCATTTGGGGAAATAAAAACGTTTACACATTGTCATGGATGCGTTAATTGATACAACCATTTGGAGAACAGCTTAACAATATCTATCTAGTTGAAGATATCCTTCAACCCGGCCTTTCCCATTCTAGGTGTTTAAGCTAGAGAAAAATCTCACACATGTGCTACAAGGGGACATGTTCATTGCAGCATAATTGTTAATAACAGAAAAAATGTAAATAGCCTAAATATTGCTTAGTAGGAGAATGGGTAACTAAATTATTTTTTTACATGTTTCATTGATAGTTATTGTATATTCTTTATGTGTTAATTCCAATATCTGAAGTCCTTAGAGGATAATTCTCAGATACTAGATACCCAAAAGTATAGTGTTGAAAGAAAAAATTGCCAAAGGATATACATAGTATAATTTATAAGTGTAAATGTTGAAAACATACATGAAATTTATGTATTGTTTATGTATGTATGCATATGTAGCAAAAGAACATACAGCTTTAATCCGTAACAGATAAAATGCCCATTAGGCAAAATATTGATACCTATTTAATCTAGATAGTCAGTACATGGTGTTTATTATCTTTTCTGTACGTTTCATTGTTAAATATGCAAATAATTTTTCAAGATTTTGATGTATACTTTTTTCTGAAATTTTATCACTTGTGCTGAAAGAGAATATAGAGGTTTAGAAAATTGCTCAGTTAATACTTATGTCAAATGTGATTTACTGAGGATTCTGTTTGTCTGAAGTCTCTGGTTCCTCAAAAATAGGATGCTGCTCCCACGGAGTCTTTACTGAACTGGCAAGACTACGAGGGTCGAACTCCTCTTCACTTTGCAGTCGCAGACGGGAACGTGACAGTGGTTGATGTCTTGACCTCATACGAAAGCTGCAATATAACATCTTATGATAACTTATTTCGAACCCCCCTTCACTGGGCAGCTTTACTGGGTGAGTTGAATGTGGAGCAAAAGATCAGCAGTAGGAGGAACTGCGTGAGTATAGGAAACGCTCTACGCCTGTTCTTTCACTAGCTCCTATCTCCTATGTAATTCTTTTCATTTTTAATTATGTGACATTTTATATCTAAATCTCTCTATGCTTAAATTTTAGTAATATGAATGTATTCTCTGTTACATATTAGTTTTAATTTCAACATCATGTCTTAATTTTTATTGTAAAAGTAACGCACATTCATTGACAAATATAAATGTAAAATAATCCTGTTTTTTACATTCAATGCCTTTATTTTTAGGGAGGAGAGCTATAATTTTTTGTTTGTGCTAATACAGTCATATTGGATTTATTTTTCTTCATATTTTTCCGATACACCTTTTAGTTAACCTTTTTGGGGAGTACTTGTTTTTAGGTGAGAGAGTACATATATGTGTGTGTGTCTGATTTGTGGGGGGGACAATGAGAGTATTTCTCTTTTAGTGAAGGAGTTTTACCCATTAAAACTCATTGTTATAAGATATATAATTTGGTCCTTTTCCTGCTATTCTGCTCTTTGAGTATTATTATGTTTTGTTTTAATTTTGCTTTTGTTTTCCGCCTTTTGGTATATAGATTAGGTTTATTATTTGTTTTTGAATTGCCTAATGTTTTAGGAGGTTTTTCAGGTTTTATTAGTGGTTATTTTTAAATTGATCAAAAACTTTTTTAAGCCTGTGTCAGAGTCAAGAGCAAAACTGCATCTGTTAATTACTGTCTATGTAAAATGAGGAATTTAGCACACTTACTTACCACTCTTTTATTATTTGTTAATATAACCTGAGGTTTTCCCCAATTATTGTGGTCTTAAAAGTTTTTAAGTTTGTCTCTTTTGAAAATGATTTTTACATTTGCATTGTTTCATAGTCAGATTTATTTGTTACTTAGAGTTTATTTCAGTGTGCAGTCTAATTCCTTTTTCCTTTTTTTCTGCATTCTTGGAGGACTTCACGAATTTGTCTCCACCTCACTAAATTGACTTTTTGTTCCTAAGTTCTGCTTTCTTTCTACCCCTTATAGATTTGATTTGATTTCCTCCTCTCATCCATATTTCCTTTCATCTCGGTCTATTTCCCTTTTTACCTCCTTCCATTACCTTTTCATTTCCATCTACTTTCTTCTTAGGATATTCTGTTTCATTTCGTAGAGGGCATTTCTTTGCACTAAGTTGAGGATGCCAAACAGTTTCCTGAATTTTCCTCTGGATCCTTCTCTAGATCATTTTCTGAGGTATGCGCTTCATATGTCTGATGGTGTTCCTATTTCTGTCCTGTAGAATATTTTCATGTAACCTTTACTGAATGTTTCTCTTAATCCTTCGAACAAGATGTGTTTCCGTTGACTATGTGGCATTGATTGCCTTTGATCCTACTTTTGTCCATCTGCGTTGGGGAGGACTTGATCTTAAACTGTTTAGCTGGAGAGCAGGGAGATGAGAACAGCTCTCACTAAATTCCTTTTTTCTGCCTGGCTCTCATGCAGTGTATGCTTGCTCTGCTAATGTGACATCTTAATTGCCTGGGTCCCCAGTGTGCTGAAGCAAGAGAATTTATGAAATTCAGGTTTCCTAAATATACGACTACCAGGTTTGTTCGTCCTTTATCCTTTCTACAGTTCTTCACTTGTGGAGACCAGCTCCTCCAAAATGCACTGTAGAATATTTTCTCCACCACCACTTCATCATTCCTGCCCACTTGTCTTCTGGGATTTGAAGTCATTGCCTAGGTGTTAAAAGATTGGGAGAGGGAGGTTAGAGGGAATGGATAGGAGACCTCAGAAACTGCAGGAGATTGTATTATAGTTTGTCCTCCTGAACAGTAGAGGAAAATAGCCATGCAGTTCTGATCGGTTGTGCAGTGGAACCTGGAGACGAAGGGACATTGATGACTGAGAGGGGCTGGCTTCTGATACACCTTCCTCCTTTCTAAGGGCAGTTTTATAAAGTGAAGCCAGGGAATGCAATGAGCTGATACCTAATATCATTTTTTCTCAACCTGTCAATAATAATTTAACTCTTTAGTGTTGTAAGTTTTTGCCTTTGTTCTACATTATCATGGTATTTTAACAAGAAGTTAGAAGAGGCTGCACTGGGGGCTCCTATTCAGAAACCATTTTGAATGCTGTATTATGTGCTAGTGATTTTGCTTACCCCTTTCCTTTAGATAGATTATAAATTAATGTCCTTGGTATGTGACAGCCACCTTGTTGTGTCTGCTTTCAGGCCATGCACAGATTGTCCATCTCCTCCTAGAAAGAAATAAGTCTGGAACCATCCCATCCGACAGCCAAGGAGCAACACCCTTGCACTACGCAGCTCAGAGTAACTTTGCTGTAAGTAAAACATGACAGTTACTTCTTTTCATTAAATTTTAATTTTGATATCACTGTAAATTCATTTGCAGTTGTAAGAAATGAAACAGAGAGATACCATGTTCCCTTCACCCAATTCACCCAATTTACCCCAATGGTAACATCTTGCAAAAGTATAATACAATATCATAAACAGGAAATTGTATTGATACAATCCACTGACCTTATTCAAATTTCACTATTTTACATGTGCTCATTTGTGGGCGTTTGTACAGCAGTTATCTTTCAACAATTGTTCATACTGTTAATTATGATGCAAGTGATAGTCTGAGTTTTTGTGAGATTGTTAGTCACATGTGAAGTTTTATACAGCTTTTATTTTAACTGCAGTGTAACATTCTGCTTTACTGTAAGTATATGTCATCTTTTTGTTACTTTTATAGCACTAAGGACAACTGAGTGTTCAGCATACTGTAATTGTCCTGAAGGCAATGTGGCAAAGCTTTGGAACTAGACAAACCCTGGCTGGAATCCTGACTGTGCTATTTGCTCGCTGTGTAACCTTACACAAGTGTCTTAACCTCTCTGAATCTCAGTTTCTTTATATGTAAAATGAGGATAATTTGTTGTAAGGATTAGAGAAAATTTGTGGCAGGTGTCTAGCGTAGTCCTTGGCATTGAGCAAGTACTCAAAAAATATTGGGTTGTCAGAAAAGTCATGATGTATTTTTTGGGTTTTTTTACTTTTCCGACAACCCAATAGAATGCATTTTTATTATTACTAGTGCTAATAATTATGTATATTATATATCTGAAATATAGATGTGATTATAAATAATATATATGAATTATTGATATTTCCAAAGACATGGCATATTATTAACAGTTCTTCGCTCACCCCCTTTATAGTTTACTCATCCATTATGTCACGCAGTCCAGCCAACAACATGATAGTGTCTAGGCTGCTTCCGCTCCCTGAGTATGAGTGGTCACCACGAACCACAGACTTGCCCACAGAGGCACACATGACAGCAGCTACATTTGATTTCACTGTCTTCTACTTGGTGTGCATAGTGAAACCCTTGGTCTCATTAAATTATAAAGATGCTGTCATCTGCATAGCATGATTCCATCTTCCTGACCTCCCCACATGTAGCATGGAATACACTGAGTACTCAGATTGCTAAAATATTTTATTTCCCACCCTTCTTTCTCTCTGGTACTCAGAACAACTATGGCTAGAGTCCTTCCTTCCTGGCATTCATAAAAATTTATTTTATTTATCACCTAGAGTTTTGGCAAGCCATTATCTTCCAAGATCTCAGAAAAATACAAAGTAGATTTTGAAGAGGATCTCTTTTTATAAATAGATGAGAAATTCAGCTGGACCAGGCTAGTCAATCTATGCAAATCAGAATTCGATCCATGTTTCAAAACAAGCCCATGAGATAGAACATGTTATCTCTATTTACAGATGATGAAATCCAGGTCCCAAAAGATTAAATGATCTTCAACCCAAGTCATAGGCTCCAAATTTAATATATGTACAGATATCAGTAATTAAGTAATTGTGCTAATGTGTGTAAGAAAGAATGGTAGAACATTATGGTTGTTTATTCAAAAAAATACCTGCTTTGAATAATCTGTCAATCCCAGAGATGATTTTTTTAATAATTATGCAAATTTTCTAAGCTCAATTTCAAACCCCTTAATTTTATTGGACTCTGTTAATTCACAAGAGGTTGCAATTCTCATTTTGAGAAGCATCATCGACAACAGTAAAGAAAATTTTTTATTTGATTCAAAATCAGGGAAAAATACTTTGCTTCTTAGTGGAAGTCACATGTAACAGTGGCTTTGTTACCAAAAAATGCTACTCTCTTGTCTCAAATTTTTAAATGAAGTTCTCTTATAGGAAACAGTTAAAGTCTTTTTAAAACATCCGTCAGTGAAAGATGATTCAGACCTTGAAGGAAGAACATCCTTTATGTGGGCTGCTGGGAAAGGCAGTGATGATGTCCTTAGGACTATGCTGAGTTTAAAATCTGACATTGATATTAACATGGCAGACAAATATGGAGGTACAGGTAAGAACTGGGAGACATAATCAATTTGCTTTCATTCAGGCTCCAAAGTGTGGGTGGTGCTATCAAACTTGTACAATAGTACTTTAAAATCATTGTTCCTAATTTAATGTTGTTTGACTTTCATCTTCACTTTTTCAGTTTAGGTTGCCAGGATATCACTCCAAAGGCTTTATTTCCGGCAGGTATTATGGCTAAAATTAGCCTATATTTCTACCTGCTGAACGATGACATTTGGTTTAAAACCTTAGTTGTTTCTTAGATGTGATTATGGGAACTCTGCTGATTATCTTTGTATTAAAAAAGCATAAACCTGTACTTTAAAACTGTGCATATTTAGTAGTCATTAATTATATTTTCAAAAATTTAGAGTTATTTTAAGGAATGCACACATCTAAGTATGTTCTCACCAGTCTCATTTAATATGCTCTTTACTCAGATTTGAATAGCATCACCTCATCCTGAATCTGCCATTTTAGAGATAACCTCCCATGGGTCTAGAAGCTTCAAAGCTTCAAGTCAGCTTTGCATCAAAATCTCTTACTAGATGTTTCTTTCAATCTCTTTCTCTAATAAGAAAGCCCTTTATGTGTTGGCTAATAAGAGAGGTATAAGCTTTTTAGCATTCATTGTCAACTTGGAGGTCTCTTCCTGTGTTCTATGTCCTAATTGCAAGTCAGAAAGAAAGAAAATTCACACAACTGCACAATAACACTAAACAGAATAAAAACTCAACTATGAGCTTCTCAATGTTATTTTTCTTTGTAGAAACATACTAGAGCCATTTGCAGCTACCTGTTGCCCTGGATACGATCTTCCTTGGCCACCAAAACTATTGATCCAGCACTGGGGGGGAAGAGTGGAGAGGAAATTATACATAATAATCTCTCTTTATATACACCTATACCACCATACCCTCTAAATTATTTTTAAGAGCTTTTAGATAATATCAATTTTGATAAAGTCTTTAACTCTCAAAAATATTTCCTCTCAAAGCCTCACAGTAGACCTTAAGTTTATTAGGAGGTCTAGTGCAGACACATAGGACTTTGAGTTCATAAATGGGCTGAACATTTACATTTTTGTCTGACTTCCATTAGTATGCAGTCTTTCACTTTATCACTAGCCTTTTTTTTAGTTTAACTTTTTCATGTATTTTAATAAAGTATAAGTGAGGATACTTGAATCTTTTTGACCAAAGGTGTCTTTTGGATGTGCACCCCGGTTGGAGTTCAGATGTAAATTCTTCTCAGCTTCATTAAATCCCGGGGCTCTTTCTCCTAAGGGGATTTTATTATATGCCAGAGATGCTTCCTGACATTTCTCATCTGTGAAAGTGGGTTCCTCAGTATCATCTCCTCTACAGGGTTGTTGGGTTTTTTTCTTTCTAGTGAGAAAAAAAAAAGTTCTTGTCAACAGCAATATACAGACATTATTTGGATCCTGATTCAAGTAAATAAACCAAAAAAATGCTAAAGTCACTATGAACGCTATGTGGATATTTGGTAATACAGAATTATCATTAGTATTTTTTAGGTATAACGGACTATCTTTGCAATACCGGGGCTGGGACTCATTTCCCCTTTGCCAGCAGGCTCTCTGTTCAAACCAACCCATAGGGGGCAGTAGAGGGAGACTGGAAACCTGGAAGAGATTACATCTTCCTGTTTGCTTACTGTATGTCTTTGTTTGTGGTTCCTGGCAGCATCACCCTAGTAAGTCTTCTTCAGCACAGCAGTGATACTTAGTTCCAATGGCAACAGTTAATTTCACTGTGCACTTTTTCCTTCACTGACAGTACCAGCCTCAGAGCACCCTCCTCAGAGATCTGAGTGTCAGCTCTTCAGGGCTCCTCTTCTAAGCTTTTACGTTTTAATAATTCCATCCTCTTGTTTCTGTTCCTCCAGTCCCAGAATTTGTAGCTGTTTTCTGCATTTACTACCTCTGTGACACTTAAGTGTTCCTTTTTTGCTTTTTCGGCTCTTCAATACTTAGCTAACAATTCCTTATATTGAATTCTCTCTGAAGTGTCTGGGATGGTTTCTGTCTCCTAAATGGACCCTGACTGATACAGTGGTTGTGTTTCTAAACAAAACACATGTCTTTCAGATGTACTTACCAAAATATTTACAAATGGAAGGATATGACTGTAGAATTTCTTTCAAAATGATCACAAGTGGAAGGGCTAGATGGCAGTTAGATGAAACAACATTAGCCGTGTACTAATAATTGCTGAAGCTGAGTGATGATGGCTACAATATATTGAGTTTACTGGACCATTGTCTTTACTTTTGAATATGTTTGAAATTCTCCATAACATAAAGTTAGATTAAAAAAATAGCACTGCTGTGTACACTTGTGGCATTTTTTCAAAGAGGGAGCAACGACAGTTAAGTCTAAGGTTATTTTAATACAAAGTAAATGCAAATAGTCAGAAATGGAGAATTTCCTTTAATAAGATTGCGCTATCTTTTGCTTAATTGACGTTTTGTCTAATTTTTTTTTATTTGACATTGATATTTATCTGAAGAGTATCTATGTATCCTGATGCCATATCATAGAATTGTAGAATTTCAGGATTAGAAGGTACCTTAAAATTAGATCTAGTTCAGGGTTTTCCAGGCCACATTCTCCAGAACACCAGGTTTCTATAGAGACAGTTGTAGAGTTGAAGTGTTGATGAGGGCATGGATGCTTCAGTGGATAACCCTCCACCCCTGCTTTAGTCAGAACAACTCTTACCTGTTTTATAAAATTACATATTGAGGAAAAAGCATTCTTATGCTCTTAAAATGTGAAAAGCACTGAAGGATCATAGGTATATCATGCTTCGATCTGCCTTATAACATTCTCAGTAGTGGTCTTTCAGCCTGTGGTTGAACAGCTCCCTATAGGAACCCACTCTTCTCTCTTAACCTAACTATTCGAATGTTCTTCCTTGTGCTCAGCCAAAATTGGTCAAACTGAATGTTCCACTCTGCTTTCTTCCATGTGACAGCACTTCAGGTATGTGAAATCTCTCACACCCCTCTGAATCTTGTCTAGGCCAAATGAACACGTATCCATTTAGGTCAGGGCTCTCAAACTCTTAAGTATGCATAAGAATTACTAGGGGCGTTTGTTTAAATGCAGGTTTCCAGAATGTATGGGCAGAGATCCTGTTTCAAATCCTGTCAACAAGTCCTGTTGACTATCTCCAAAATGTATTCTAAATCTTTCTACTTCTCTCCATCTCCACTCCTGCCACCCTAGTTCAAGCCATGATTTTTTACCCAGTCTACTGTAATAGTCAACTGGTCTCCCTGCTTGTATTCTAATGTGCTACAGTGCATTTTCCACAGAACAACCGGAATGCTGTATTTAAACCACAAATCAGAGATCACTCACCAATTTAAAGCCCCCTTGTCTTCCGACATTCTGCCCTGTATGTCTGTCTGTGATCTGGCCTTTTTTTCTACCTATTGTGCTGCAGCTTCCTTGCCTTCCTTAAACACATGGATTCATTCCTGTCCTGTGCTAACTGTTCCCTTTGCCCAAACTAGTCTCTCTGCAGATCTCCGCGTTGCTGGCTGTTTTTTATGATTCAGGTCTCAACTTAAATGTCAGCCTCTTAGCAAGGCTTTCTCTAACCACCGATCAAAAGTAATGCCCCAGTCACTCTACAAATCAAAATACCTTTTATTACTTTAATTATGCCATCCATCACTAGCTAATACTTCTTGTTTATATATTCAGGGATTTTTTCTTTGGTTTTTCTATTTGTTTGTTTTCTTATTTTTTTCACTTCCCATACTAGAATGCAATTTGCCTATTTTGTTCCTGCTGAATTCCCCTCATTGCATTAATACCCAGCCCATAACATTCTCAACAAATCTCTGGGAATCTGCATTTTTATAAGCTTCCTAGGTTTGGTCCATGGATCACACTTTATGAAAGAAATGTTGTTCTAGGCACTACAGAGCCATAATACTTATAAAGGACTGGCTCAGGCCTCTAGATAGTTATCCTGGCAAATTCAGACGAATTTGAAGAGTGATGAATTTAAATAGAATTTAAAGAGTAATCTAAAGATTGATGGCATAAGCCAAGCACTAGAGTGGAATAACAGGCAGGGGTCAGCATAACATGCAACTCACATATAGTCACAATCACTCTTTCAAACCCCTCACAAAAGCACCAGAGAAGAGACCACATTCCATCTCAGTGTTTTCTCCAATGTTGAAACAAATTGATGTTTCGTAAATTGGGCCCAGAGGAAATAGCTGGCTTGCCTTTGGAGGCACGTTGTATGAAAAATGCACTCAATGCTGTAAGGTGCTCGAACTCTCAGCACCACGCGGGTGCAAAGACCAACCACAGGAATAGCTCATGGAGGAACCGTAGATTGACGTCTCTTGTCACACAGTCCCTCAGGGGCTTGTGTTTATTGAGTGGGTTGGTGGGCAGAATTGCCTGCATCGTTTAAATTATTTTTCTTTGTCATTTTTTTTGTTCTCTTGCTCTCTCACAAAGAGGAAAAGATAATAAACTAGTAACTGAGAAGAGGAGACCAATTCAGACCAACAGGATAGAGGAAGAAAGCAGTGAGACAAGAAAGGTAGAAGGAAAGGGGAAAAGTGTGAGTAACGCATATGAATAGAAAGGAAGATAGACATCTATCAAAGTGGAAAACAAAGCAGAGAATCCGTATTCCATTGCATTCAGCTAAAATGATGGGGAAATCAAAGGAGTGAAAGAGACATAGCTTGAATAATAAAGAGGTAAAGTTGCGATTAAAGAGTTCATCACTTTCTTTTGCTCCCTTTTTAGCTTTACATGCTGCTGCCCTTTCTGGCCATGTCAGCACCGTGAAGTTATTATTGGAAAATAATGCTCAAGTAGATGCTACCGATGTCATGAAACATACACCACTTTTCCGAGCCTGTGAGATGGGACACAAAGATGTGATTCAGACGCTTATTAAAGGTTAGTTATTAAAAGTTCTCCTGGGCTGGCCGAGTAGCGCTTTGGTTAAGAGTTGGCTTGGGATGCCAGCTCTGAGTAGCAGGGCCCTGGTTCAGATCCCACATGAGGGCCAGTGACACTGCCCTCTACAGCTAAGATGCTGAACAACAGCTCGACCTGGAGCTGGGCTGCCGTGAGTCGCCGGTGACGGCATAGGCTGCAGCCCTTGCTGCAGTGGGCTGCCATAAGCGACCGTGTGTGGCTGGCAACCAGTGGGAGCTGCCAAGAGCCGCCATGAGCGGCCGTCCAGAGGCCGGCGACCGATCTGCCTCACCTGGGAAGAGTGCAATGATCACAATACCAACATGGGCCAGTGAAGCGACGTCCTCCACAACTAGACTGAAGAACAAAAGGACAGCAACTTGTCTATTCCCCTTCCTCCGATTCCCCAGCGCTGTTCCCCTCCCTCAATTCCCCCCAATAAAAAATCTTTAAAAAAAAAAAGAGTGCTCCTAATAAGTCACTCAAAAGGTAGTAGAAATGTTTGCATTCGTCGTTTGAAATCGACAGCCTTACTAGCAGAGAGCCTCCTAGTTAGGATGGAGGGAAGGGCACCACACCTGAGGACAGGAAACTTGAGCTCCACCTGTTGGTAGTTGTGAGATTTTGGAACGGCTGCCTGATCCTCAGTTTCCTTTTATGTAAAAAAGGAAATGATGTCTACCCTGAACTTACAAGCTTATTGTAAAAATCTGAAGCAGATGATATATGTGGAAGCATTTTGCTGAGAGTAAAGCTGTTGTTATATTTTTAAACCTTCTATTCTTTTTAATAAACGCCCCCTATATTTGACATTTTTATTATATTTTTGCTTTCTCAGGTGGAGCAAGGGTAGATCTGGTGGACCAAGATGGACATTCTCTTCTACACTGGGCAGCACTGGGAGGAAATGCTGATGTTTGCCAGATACTGATAGAAAATAAGATCAATCCAAATGTGCAAGATTACGCAGGAAGAACCCCTTTGCAGTGTGCTGCATATGGGGGTTACATCAACTGCATGGCAGTGCTCATGGAAAATAATGCAGACCCCAACATTCAAGACAAAGAGGTAGGAATTCTGGGTCTTTTTATATTGTTTGTGCTTAAGTGTTTAGTTTTACTTTGTTAACTAAAATTGAGTAAAATGACAATTTGCCAAATGTAAAGATCACTCACAAATCTGTTAATTAAAAATGGTTTTTATTTGTCCATGTTTTCTTCGAGTCCTTGTCTATCTATGTAATTTAACAAAGTCATAATATAGGATGGGAATAATTTTATAACTTTTACAAAATACACATACATGGCATATGTATATGTATATATGATTGTGTGTGTGTGTGTGTGCGTGTGTGTATATAATCATATATATGTATGATTTTACAAACCACATTTTGTTTGGTTCACTTAAAATTATCACCAATATCTTCTCATTTGGTATATAATCTTTTCCATAAGCATGGATGCTAAGTATTCTAAAGTTCTAAGAGTTTTATGTTTAATAACTGATTCAATCCTCATCATAACTCTATACATTTTTTACTATTATTATCCTCATTTTACAGATGAGGAAATTGAAGCTCATTGAGCTTAAATAATTACTCTAAAGTAACAATAGCGGCAGGGAAGTTGGAGGGAGTCTGGGTCCACCCTGTGCCTATAACTCAAATTTTAGAATTAAATAAGTAACTTCCTATTGCTGGACACTTTTTTGTTATTACACATCATGTGTCATTAATCATCTTTGTGCATTTAACATTTTTTTCTTTTGGATTATTTCCTTAGAATGTTTTCCCATAAGTGAGATTATTGAATCAAATAATGAATGGTATATGAATGTAATTAGGCTCTGATATACAAGTATACTGTCGAACTGATTTTTAAAACATGTGAGTTAATCTGTGCTTCCTCCAGCTATGTAGTAATGTATTGATTTCTCTCAATTTAGCCAGTATTGACTTTTTTGCTAGTTTAATTTAACTCTTTAAAAATATTAGCATGTTTTCCATGTCAGAAAATATGTTCCCTATTAATTTATTCAACAAATATTTATCAAGATTATTACTACATGTAAAAGTAACATAATGAAAATTTGTAAAATATGGTCCTTGTACCTATTATTAGAAATGTATCTTTTATAATTTGCAATATCTTTTACATTTTTTACAAGTTGCTATTTTCTTCCATAAGTTGCATACTCGTATATTAATCAACTTTCCAGCTCTATTTTTACATGTATTGTTTTTATATGTATTGTTTTTTATTATATACATAAACAATCATACTACCTGTGAATAACATTTTTATTTCTTCCTTTCCAATCCTTATGCCTTTCATTTCTTGTCTTATCTTATGGAACTAACTAGGATCTCCAATACCATGTTGAATAGAATTGGTGATAGTTGACAGTCTTAACTCATTCTGGCTTCTCAAGGAGAAAGCTTTAAGTATTTCACCATTGAGTATGATGTTCGCTACAGGTCCCCTTATATTTCTAGTTGCTAAGCTTTTTTTAATCACAATTAGCTGTTTAATTTTTGTCAGATACTGTTCTTGCATCTATCAACATGATCATATTATTTTTTTCCTCTTTGCTGTTAATATGGTAAATTACATTGATTACATTGTTTTTTCAGATATTAAACCACCCTTTCATTCTTAGAGTAAATCCACTTAAGATTTATTGTTAATATATATATATGTATGTGTGTATATATATATGTGTATATATATATATATGCACATATATATTTATTAGTGGATTTTATTTGCTAATATTTTGATATTTTTGCATCTATGTTCATGAGAGAGATTGATCTACAGTTTTTCTTCTACTATACTTGTCAGGTTTGGGTAGCAAGGTTGCACTGACCTTATCAAAAGAGTTAGGAAATAGCACCTCTTTTCTTACTCTCCTAATGAATTTGTGTGAGATTGGTGTTACTTCTTCCTTAAATATTTAGGCGGATTCCCTGGTGAAGTCATCGGGTCTAGGGGTTTCTTTTGTGCAAAAGTTGTTAATGATTCAGTTCCATTAATAATTACAAGACTATTTAGGTTTTCTAATTCTTTTCTTTTCTGCTTTAATAAGTTGCATTTTTGAGAAATATATCCATTTTATTAAAAAAGTCAAATGTATATGCATAAAATTGGTCATATATGCTCTTATCTTTTTTATGTCTGTAGGATCTATAGTGATTTCCTTTTATTCATTCCATATATTGGTAATGTATTTTGTCTTTCCTTTTTTAAAACATTTTCTATTTTGCTTTTCAAAGGACTGACTTCTGTCTTAGTTGATTTTCTATATTTTAAGATTTTTTTTTAACTGTTCATTGATGTTTACTCTTACCTTTATTATTTCCTACCATCCACTTTCCTTGGGTTTGATTTACTATTTTTTTTTAAAGATTCTTTTGATGAAAGTTTAAATCATTGATTGTTTTCAATATTCTTTTCCAGTATATGTATTTACACATGCTTCTTCTTCTAAGCAGTGCTTAACTGTATCCCACAGTTTTGATAAGTTTTATGCTCACTGTCATTCAGCTCAAACATTTTCTAATTTCTATTTTGGCTTATTTTTTGACACATAGATTATTTAGAAGTGTATTGTCTAATTTCCAGGCAGTTAGGCATTTTCTTATTATCATTTTGTTGTTGATTGCATTAATTTCCTATTGGTGCTATAACAAATTACCACAAACTTAGTGGCTTGGAACAACACAAATTATTGTCCTACTGTGCTGGATGTCAGCAGACAAAATGGGTCTCACTGGGCTCAAATCAAGATGTTGGCAGGGCTACGTTCCTTTTGGAGGCTCTAGGGGAGAATCTGTTTCTTGGACGTTTCCGGCATCTAGATGCTGCCCTCCTTCGTTAGCTTGGGCCCCATTCCTCCATCTTCAAAGCCAGCAATGACTAGCGGAGCCTTTTTCACACGCTTCACTCTGACACTCACTCTCCTGCCTCCCTCTTTCACTCATGAGAACACTTATGATTACATTGGGCCCACCTGAATAACCCAGGATAATCTCCTCATCTCAAGGTCAGCTGATGAGCAACCTTAATTCCATCTGCAACCTTAATTCTCCCTTTCCATATAACATAACATAGCTACCGATTCCAGAAATTAAGATGTGGGAATCCTTGGCAAGGGAGTGCATTGTTCTGCCTACCACACTGATGTGTACCTTAAATTCTACCGTGGTTAGAAAATGTACTCTGAATTATCATAGTCTTTCAAAATCTTTTGAGGCTTTCTTTATGGCCCAGCATATGGTTGATATGGGTAAATGTTCTGTGTACACTTGAATACTAATTTTGTCATCATTTGGATGCAGTGTTTTATATATATCACTTAGGTCAAATTTTTACATTGTATTGTTTGGGTCTATATCGTTTCTGCTCTTTTATCTGTTCAATCAACTATTGTAAAAGATGGGTTAAAAATCTCCCACTGTAATTATGGATTTGATTATCTCCCCTTTTAATTTTGTCAGTTTTCGGCCTATATATTTAGAAACTGTGTTATTAGGCACATACAGATTTAGGAGTGTGATGTCTTCCTCTTTGCTTTAACACCATGAAATATCCCTCTTTATCTCTAGCAATGCTTCCTGACTTCTTTATCTTTTATGACACTGAAATTTTTTAAGAATGCAGGCCATTTATTTCATAGCATTTCACTCCATTTGGGTTTACCTTATGATTCCTCACAATTGGATTCAAGTTTTCCATTTCGGGTTGGAATGTTACGTAAGTGATATTGAATCCTCCAGATATCACCTCTGGAAATATATGATGCCCCTTAACATAGTGCTAATTTTCATCACTTGGTTAAGGTGCTGTCCACTTCATACGTCACATTTTCCCTTTCTGCAATTAAGCAGTTCGGGAGAGAATTGTTTAGATTTTGAGTTAGCCTAAATAACTATGTCCAAAAATACTGATTCCAGACGTACTTGACCTTTGCTCGTGCTTGTAGGGAAGAACAGCTTTGCACTGGTCCTGTAACAATGGATACCTTGATGCCATTAAATTGCTACTAGACTTTGCTGCCTTCCCTAATCAGATGGAAAACAATGAAGAGAGGTAAGTAAACTGTGGATAAAAAGTATGTACTGTTGTTTGTCTCACATCCTTTCTGCTAGATTTTGAAAATCTCAAGTTTAGATACTGGTTCAGAAATAGTAAGTACATTCATAAGGAAATCCTGAACCAGAAGAAAAGAGTAAAAGTTCCATGCGATGTTGACTTAGATCGTGGGATTTGAAAGCTATTTAGGACTTGAGATACCACCTAGAACAAGCCTACATTTTACAAATGAGGAAACTTACTCTTTCTTCTGGCTGGTGACTAGCACAAAGTCAGGGGTTCCAAGACTAGGAATTTAGTTAAACCAGAGGAATGTGTTGTATGTTCAAGAAGTTTCTCTTGTTGAAGAGGATATTATCAGTTAGTGGACAGAGGTGCCACCATAGAACATGAAAAAATAAGGAGAAGCTAAGATGAAAGCTCAGGACTTTAGTCTAAATACAGATTTATTTAATATGAGATCCACAGAGTCAGGCTGGTGGTGTTCCCCAAGGACCCAGGCCCAGTGAAAAAGGACCAGACACAGTGTGAAGTCGAAGCACAAGAGATTCTTGGTGGTCTTGCATCTAGGAAGAGTCTAGCAATTGGTAGGTAACAACTAAATTTGTGGTCAGGCTTCCATCCCTTAGCTCCCCCCAGCCCAGGCCTGTGCTTTTGTTTCCATTGTCTATGGATGCTCTACCTAAAATGACACCATCACCACCTTCTTAGCCACCACCAGTTCTTTCTTCCTGTCAGGAGGTGGGAAACTTGGGAGAAGTAGGGACTTTCTCTGTGGGCCAACTGTCTCAGAGGAACCGTGCTCCTCCTTTCTGGGGCCAACCCCTTAATTTTTTCCACTTCTTCAGAACCATTCCCCATTAGTTATATCCTCCATCCATTATTTTCCAAAATGGTTTTCTGAAGTTTGTCTTCTCTGCCTGTAAAGCCTTTCTTCTCTCAGACTGTCTTCACTGCCTCATGCTCACCATTCAGGCCTTTGTAGTCTGGCTTCCATCCTCACGTTTGTACTGAAATTGGCATCTGAATGGTCACTGACAGATTCCTACCTGAAAAATCATATGTTGGCCACTCTGTCCACTCTCACAGGCTTTTCTGCATCATCTGGTTCTGTTGCTTCCTCTTTATTGAGACTAAACCTTCTCTAAGCTTCTGTGACAGTATATTACCCTGATGCTCTTCTAATCGTATCTGCTCCTTCTGCATTTCTTTTGGCTTCTCTTCCATTTATTATTTTTTAAATAAAAACATTCTGCAGAGACTGGCTCTCCTCTCACAGCCTGTCTTCTTTGGCTTCAGCCTGGGTGCTAGTGAGCCTAAAACTCTATTTCAGACTCAGTGTCTCCCTCTTCTTGGCTCACACTGTCATCCCTCTTTATCCCCAGCACTGCTGTCTAAATCAAGCCCTCTTTGACTCCTTATAGGACTATTGCACTGTCTCCTTGCTGTTTTCCCTCCTTTGATCTTGCCTCATTCAATTCACATCCTTCCAAGGCAGCCTTCCTAAATCATATTTCTAATGTAATTGGTAATCATGGCGTCCCTCTGTTCGAATGCATCCTCATCTAGGGAGACTGTTCTGATCCCCAGTCACGTGTCCCAAACTTTCTTCCCCCCTACACTGTGTATTTCTATAGCGTGTGGCACACTTCACTGTATATAATAACCTTATGTAATCTGTCCTCTATTAGCAGAGAACTCCTGAAGATCATGGTCACCTCTGTATTGCTCACAGTGCTTTTCATGAAGCAGAGGCTCAATAAATAACCTGCACTGCCAAGTGGGTGTTTTCAGGATCCTGGGAGCAGGACCCTGCTGCATACCTGCAGTAGAAACTTCTGGAATTCTCAGAGCATCTGCAGAATTAGATAAAGCAGACTAGTATGTCCTACTTTAGGGGCAATTATAGAAAGAACTGTCTCTCTTATAGTCAAATGACAACTGCAAAACAAAAAAGATTTGAAGATTTAGGGGGTTCGACATTAAAGGAGGCTAGAAAGCCAAGTGGAATCCTCAAGGCTGAGGTTTTGACATTAAAGCAGATAAGTGAGAAAGCTGAAGATGTCTGCCTCTGAAATCCTAAAAAAAATCAAAAGGGAAACTTTAAGAATCCTAAGAATTAGTGATGATTTATTTCTATAAAGGGTTTATTCTCTAACAGTGTTTACTGACTACTAGTTTTTCAGGAAACAGTAAAAAAAAAAATTTGTAATTCAATTCCCATTTATGTGCTAATAAGCCTTGAATTTCAGACCTAAATAAGCCTGTGAATGAAGGTGCTTACTGCCTCCTGGAGTAAGTGTATGCTAATTACAGACCAAAAGACCAAAGGAAAAATCCTCCTAACTGTACTGCCAATCTACAGATGAAAAGAGACAGTGGCAATATTCCAGGCTCCTTTAATGTTTCATCAGCAATGCACCTTGATGTACAAATGTCAGAATGTGGCACTGCCGTTTATGTTTATTGACATTCTAGTTTACCCATTCTGCTCATCCCATCGGACCATTCCCACATGGCTGCTCCAATTGTATCTTGTTCTTGTCTTTATCTACATTGTTTCTTGACTGGTTACCATCAATGTAGTGCTAATTTTTACTTCTGGTGCATTGACACTAACCACTTGATGTGCACAGCATAGACATAATTTTTGCCGGCTACTGCTGGCTTTCAGTCAATAACTATCTGACAGCGACACTCTGACATCGATGGGCATATTCACAGCACTTGAATGTTTCTAAATTGAACTGGGGATGAAGAAAGATTCAGAAGTAATCATCACAATATGGTCAGTTGCTTAAACTGTAGGTATAAACTTCAGCCTTAAAACCTTGCTAGATATTTGAATTGTGTCTCCTTGGTCAAAAATTGACTGAGAATCCTAAATAAGCCAATTGTAAAAGAAGACATTTTTGAGAAAATTGGGAAAATTTCAATATGGAGTGGGCATTAGATCTTCCTAAGGAATTCCTGTTAATTTTGTTAATACAATAATGACATTGTGATTGTGTCCATATTATTTATAGATGTATACTGAAATGTGGAGACCTGAAATGATAGGAGTTCTGAGATTTGCTTTCAAATACTTGAGCAAAAATAAAGTGGAAGGGCTTGGATAAAGCAAATATGGCAAAAATCTTGCTACTTGTTAAATTTGGGTGATGAGTGTTTAAAGGATTATTGTGTTATTCTCTCTACTTTTGTTTAATTTTCTCATAATAAAAATACAGTTTTTTCATAAAAAATATTTTAAATATTTGAAATGCGATTTTCCATCCAGAAGCAACCTAAGAGATCTAGTTCTTCCCTCCTTCCTTTCACCACCTTTTACAAATGAGAAAACAGAGCTCGGAGAAGTGAAGAGAATGCCCAGGGCCCCACAGGTCTGCAGACACCACTTCAGCATTCATTAGGGGATATTATGCTCCCTGTCATTTCCTTTTGTCATATCTGTCAGTAAAGGCATCGTTTGGGCCTTACTTTCATAAACCAGGTTTTGATAATCCTGCTTGTATACTCTTTTAATTATAGAAGAAATGATCACACTTACTAAATATATGTTATTTGCATGTTGATTTTAGAAGTTTCATTCTATAGGAGATTTATACTCAGTAATTGATAGAGGTATTGTGAAAGGATTATTAAACAAGGAGTCAGTCATGCGATCTTAGTTCCAATTCTAGATTCTGCAGGTAACTAGTTACATAACCTTCAGCAAGGTACTTAATTTTTCTGGGTCTGTTTATTCATTTAATTACACTAAATGTTCCCTAAAATTCAAGTTGGCTCTACTGTTATGTGGTTCTATGACGCTGATAATCTTTTCCATTGAATATGTAGTTAATTTTTTTTAAGTTTTTCTGAATTTACAAAATGCTACCTACTTATAACTAATATTTTAAAGTTTATATAGTGGCTTTTACTTACAGCCTTCTGGTCCCTGAACAGTAGTGGCAAATCAAGCTGTCCTAAAATGGGGGTTCCTTAGTTTTAGTATTTGGGGTCTCCTTCTGAATTCAGAGTTTCCTTACCGAAGTATAAATACTTATAAATACTAGTTTGGGTTCTATGGAAATAATATTTATGAAGACTGTGGTATCATAGATCATACTGCAATGTATGTCCTATAATAATAATAGCAGACATTTGTGAACTGCTTCCTTTGCACCATGTTCAATGCCAGTCTTTATCATTATTACTTTTTTTTTCTTCATGCCAAGTCTGTGATGAGGAAACTGGGTCTTAGAAACATCAAGTAGGTTGTTTAAGAAGTTAGCATTACCATTGTTGGATGGTAGAATTTGAGTTTGTTTTTTTTTACTTCAATTTTTTAACTTTTTGTATTGTTTGAATTCTTAAAATGTGTCATTTTTACCAAGTAGTCATTTTTCTTTAAAAAAGCAAAGCATATCTGCCAAGATATGAACAGTAGTTAACTGTGAGGGTAGGAATATAGCTAACTTATTTTCTTCTGTGTATTTCTCCAATTTATTTTATATTTCTAAAAATAGAAGATATGTTTTTCAAAAGGAATTTGGGTAAAATCACACATCTAGGAAGTAGCCAGTTGAGATTTAAACATATAACTATATGGCAATCATAACTATCCGTACTAAGTAATATATTTATCAAAAAGGTGCTGTGTACACGCTGTACAAAATTTAAGGACAGAAAAGGACGTTCAGTGAAAAGTACGTGTTTCTCCCTCCCTACCTCCTCTGCCTCTGAGACCAGCAGTTTCCCTCTCAGAAGCATCACCATCACCAGTTTCTCGGGAAACTCCTGGAAATGCATTTTACATAGATAAGCATATGGGATATATTCCTTTCTGTACAAGTGGAACACACCATAATACTGCTCTGTTTCTTACTGTCTTCTTCATTGAACAAGACATCCTGGAAAGCGCCCCTTATTTATCCATATACCACAGTAATGGCTGCATTATGCAGATGACTTCATTGCGTGGATAGCGCGTGCTGTATTTAAACAGACCTCTGTTGATGGACATTGAGGTTGTTTCCACTCTTTTACTATTTCAAACTGTGCTTCTATGAATATCCTTGTACATAAAGCATTTCACACATGAGCGCAGATCTGTGGGATAAAGGCCTACACGTGAAATGGCTATGCTGAAGGGCAGATGCATGAGTAACGCTGGCAGATACTGCCAAACTGTTCCCCCTAGAGATTAACGTATTGGGTTGTCGGAAAAGGCATGACGTATTTTACTATGTTTTTCAATGCAAAAATGCGTCATGACTTTCCCGACGACCCAATACTTCCTACTTGGGGAATCATCTTTTATCTTTGTCTTTGGTGTTTTTGCCCTGCAAATTTTTGTTATTTTTATGTAGTTGGATTTATCATTCTTAAGTTTTCTGTTTTGTATCTTTAAAAAAAAAAGACTTCCCACCCCAATTTTTTTTAAAAAAATCATCCATGATTTCTTCTAATATTTTCATGGTATGTATTTGTATATGTATATGTATGTGTATGTGTATGTGTATATGTATGTGTATATGTATATGTATATGTATTTAGATCTTTGCTTCATCCTTTTGGAGTAAAATGAGATATAAGGCTCCTTTCTTCCAGATGGCTAGCCAGTTGCCGCAACACTATTGCATAATCCGTTCTTTCTGCAGTGATTTAAAGAGCCATCCTTAGCATACACTAAATCTCTCCATTTGGAGGCATATTTTGTATTCCATAAGCGTTAACTATCAGTAATCTATGGGCTCAGACTTATGACTCTCACAGAAAATTATTTGCAGTACTTTTTCAGATAGGAGCAAGGAATTATTTGGAATATGGGAAAGAGGAGAAGTGATCACGTGTTCTCACAGCCCCGTTTGTGAGCAGTGAGCAAAACTCAGGAATGGACATGGTCAGCAGCCCACAGCCCCTGACGCCAGCTTCACCCTTGTTTTAGAGAAAAAAAAGGAGCAGTCCTGGAGGACAGAAGATAGCTCTGCCTGATAATATTCCACATCTTAGAATGAGGTTTCCTTCCGCTGCGTAACATTGCCAGCTTAACTGTGCCTTGAATTACATTCTAGCGCTTACAAAAACAACAGCAAAACCTCTCTTCCTGCTTCAGGTATACCCCCCTCGATTATGCTTTGCTCGGTGAGCGCCATGAAGTGATCCAGTTCATGTTGGAGCACGGTGCCCTGTCCATCGCAGCTATACAGGACATCGCTGCCTTCAAAATCCAGGCTGTCTACAAAGGCTACAAGGTCAGGAAAGCTTTCCGAGACCGAAAGAACCTCCTCATGAAGCATGAGCAGCTGAGAAAAGATGCTGCTGCCAAGTAAGTCTGAGCTGGAGAGATTGTGTTCTCACACCTGAGAGTCAGAGTGGAAGGGGCGGGTTGGGGGCGTGGCCAGGAGAGGGACTCAGGAGAGAGCCTGAGAAAATTTTGAGCCCTGTGTCCATGTCACCCGTCTGCTCACCAGCCTTTCAGAGGACTGGGGCCAAAGTGAAGGCTGAAGGCCTAATCTCTACCTGGTGGCTGTGCCTCTTGTGTAGTCCTTAATGTTCTAACTCAGGGACAAACCACTGCCACATCCACCCATGGCAAGTAGTGGGAGGGTGGGCGTGCTCCCACAGTGAGCCACAAGGAAATGATTGGTCTTCTCGCCTTTCCTGTCTTTCCAAAAGAAACTAACTCCAATTTCTACTCTATTTTCACTAGATTAGTCACAGTCTAGTTTTGATTTGATTAAAGCAACCAACTTGTATAAATAACTTGCTTTACCCCACCTAGTCCTTAACAAATTTGTACTAAATAATGTAATTTATTCAAGAAACATTGATTAAATTCTTAATATAAATAAAAACTATTGGATGGAACCTACAGAGAAAATAGTAACTCAAAGTAAAATACTTGCTTCAAGGACCTCACACTTATTTGGATAATGAATGATACAAAATGTTCAAAATAGTCATTTGTGCCTGTTCTACACTGTGATTATTCAGTCACATAAATGATTGATTTTAGATTTTGCTTTGGTTTGTCTTTTCTTAAATAGCAGGAGAGTATTGCATTAACAGGTATAGATCCCAGAACTTCTGATGATAAAGATGTGAAAGACAGGCGGTTCCCTACGGGATAACTTCCTGGGCCGTGTCCTGAACGTTTCCAAATCGTGGGTTCTTCCAATTCCTGAATCCTTCCATGTCTTGCCCACAAGGGGGAAGCATAAGTGTAATAAATAACAATTAAAAATAATAATAAAAGGCTGAATAAACCATGGTAGTAAGAAGTTGAATACCACAATGAACTGGAACACTAACCATGTCAGCCTTTGTGGACAAGATGGACAGAAACACATTATTTTCTACGACTCTGAAGCTACCAAAGTAGGTGGCATCCTAGGAAATATTATTTTGCATTGTTTTTTCTCTTAATGGGCCTCGCCTTTCTTCCGCTTTGCCAAAGAATCCAGTGTTAAGCTAAAGCCTCTACATGCGTCCTTTTCCAGCCTTCTTAGAGAAGTTCTCTGCATGTGAGTGACGACTGTAAGTGGGTCATACATGCAACAAATTATCCTGAGTTGCAAGTAAATATTCTCTGCAAGGAATAGAACATTGTATTTCCTTCAACTGATGTTTCTTTAAACTTCAGTTTGATGTGTGAGAGTCTGTTTTCAGAATTTGAAGCCATATCCACATCAATATGGCAGCGTGACTGAATTTGTATGTCCCTCAAAGGAACGTGTTAATCCACACACATTCCACTTTGTTTTTGGAGAAGGGGGACGGACCCCCACACGCTCCCTCTCCAGCAGAATAGGGTTGTGGGAGAGTGGAAAGAAGACCTGGGTTAAAATCCAGCCTCTGACATTTACTTGTGATGAATTTCTCTCTCTCAGCCTCAGTTTCTTGATCTGTAAAATATGATCAATTAGATCGGTTGATTTTTAGGCACTCTCCAGTTCTGTGGAAACTCCCAAGTCTTCACGGTTAGTGAGCTCAGCCTCTCCTTTGTGGTGCTGCCCAGAGGCTGTCTACCTGGGGTCAGGAGTTTGTGTTCAGTGCCGAGCTCGGAACTAAGAATACATTTGTCAGAAGATGTCCTATACAGAGGGAGGGGTTTCAAATAATGAGCTTCAATAAAGTACATAATGGTTTACAATATTTTTTTTTCCTAACAAGGCCTTATGTAACTCCCAGCCCAGAGGGTTTGAAATGACCAGGAGATTTAGGGAACATCTAGTTCACCTTTACTTGTTATCCTAATTAGTTTCACTATTGTGAAAGATAGGTACTCTTTGTTCTTAATTCTTAGTTTCTGAAGTTCATTTTTTAAAACGCTTTTAAACTGGTGCCGTGCTTACTGTGATAATATTTGAAATTGCCCAAACTGAAAAATTATAATCTCCTTTACTTTTTCTCAATCACAATCTTTCCTTTTTTGGGTGTCATTTGGAAGGAAACACGTTTTTTACACTTTACCTGTCACCTCCTATAGTCATTCTAGTATATAGTTCTCCAAGAGAAATATTTAAATGTTAAATATTTCTTTAGAAACTGGTTTAACTTGTTTTAATTTTATTTCTCAGAAGTTATTTCTTAAAATCCGAGTCAGCATTTAATTTTGTGTTTGGTTCTTGTTTTAAGGAACAGAAATCAGAATGTTAAATTCTGCTGCTGCCTTGTTGACCAAGGTGGCCCCGGGCACGTCCTGTTACCTCAGTGTACCTCTCCCCATTTGTCACGACAGGGTGGCGAAATCACCTTCCTTAAAGTAAGGATGCGAAAGGAACTTATTAGACTTCAAGCGATTTCTAATTTACTGATAGAGAGAAATGGGGAGAGAAGTTTCAGTCATATTTTCTCAGGCATGTTTTTTAGAAAATACTATTTAAGTCCTACTTATAACCCATTTAAAAGCACTTTATAACTCATACTGCGCCACCTATGTTGATGCCAAAATGAACATTACTATAATTTAACTGCCAAAGCACACAGTTGAATGCACACTAAAATAAGACTGTGTTTATGCTGATCACTCTTCCTTCCTGAAGATTCCTTTTTGCCAGGTTTTTATTTCACTCTCTAATCTCAGATCTCCTCTAACTCGCTGACTCTTCCTTCTCGCATCTTTTTAATTATACCATCTCCACACTGAGGACAGCCCCATGGGCTAACTCCTTAGACTTCTACGCCTGCTTTTTTTTTTTTCATTGAAAATGTATCTACTCTTAAAACTTAAATTACTTCATCTCTGTAGATAACCCCTTAATTTGTCTCACACCTTGACCTCCTGGAACTTTAATCCCAACTCATCAGTTGCCTACTGGGCAACTTTACTATCCCTTTGTTACTTGCCAGCATTTCAGATCACTGGACATTTTCATTTGCATGTCTTATTGCCAGCATCACTTCAGGCTCACTGTGTGAGACCTTCAGCTCGCCACAACCTCTCTTCTCGCGTCCTTATTTCCCTGCTAGTGCTGCCACCGCTGATTCTGTTTATTCCACTTTTCAAATATATTTTTATGCCCTTTTGCTTTCATTCTCTGTCCCACCACTCTATGCAGGCCGCCATTCTTAAATACCAACCATGATGCTATGTAAGAGCCTTCAACATTTTACTTCCACTTGTATCTCCAAGTCTCATTTCTCTGCACTACAACCACCCTCCTGCACCCTCACACTTGAGGTCTCAGCCATCCTGACCTTTCTTTACTTCTGTCTCACCACTCTCTTGACTCACCGCATTCTCTGTGAAACCTTAGCTTCTTTCTGGCTAGTATATGAGATTGACTATGTCTCCTAGAGTTACATAATCAAGTCCAGTGCGGGTCACCCAGTTCATACTCTTGTGATACTTAAGTTCCTTCTACAGGGGGTAGTCCTGTGTCCTCAAAAAGTCAAGTGACAAGGAATTCATTAGTGGACAGTTCTGTCTGGTGGTTCTTGTCTACCTTTTGGTTTTGAGCTACCCCTTGAAGCAAAAGAGAAGAGTCTAAATCCTTTTCCATAAACCACTTTCAGATAATCAACGAAAGTGCCCATGACACTCCCGCTCATACCCCGGGTCTCCTTTTTGCCTCATCGCAGACCCTCTTGCAGCCTGCTCCCCGAACACCTTCAGTTTGTCAGTGTCAGTGCCAAGGTGGACCCATAGGTCTGACCCTCCTGCTCATACTGTGGTCTGACCCGTGGGGAATCAGTTCCATGACTCTGTTTCATGCCTTTCACTTCTCTGAGCCTCAGTTTCCCATCAGTAAGATAAAAAGAAGATTTCTCAATCCAGCACAGGCTCTCGGGCTCCCTGAAGCTATGTGCAGCTTTTCATGTATCATGAGAATATATGAATTTGGGGGTAAAGGGATCTGTAGATTTTTATCACATTCTCAAATAAGGTCCATGAGTCCCGAAGAGAATTTAAAAAATGGACTAAATGATATCTGCGGTATCTCCCAGCTCTAACATTCTATAAGTCAGAGATCCTAAAACACATGACATTTTCCTATTCCCTTGAGAGGAAGTCAAAGACCAAATATTAGTAGTAGGCCCGTTATTCAGCAACAATGAAGAGATAGAACCTGACAGACCCCCTACATACAGTGCAATACCAACTGAAAAGGTTAGAACTAAACCTTTTCTGTCTGGCGAGGCAATCTGTTTCCTCTCACTGGAAATGTCCCAGCAGAAATTTAATTATTATCTCTCCAGGATAATATATAAGGAATTGTTCAAAATTATATAAAGAGCTGGTCTCTAAGATCTCTTCTGAGTCAAAGATTCTGTGACAGCTGGGTTGCATGTCTTTGCTCATGCTCTTTTCTGTGCCTCAAATAACCTCTCACTTCCCTCCCTCTCTCATTTTGACATTCTTTTTTTTTCTTCCTGTTTAATAAGCTCCCACATCCCCTATTTTAGCACTCATCACCTCTAGAACTCACTATCTGCAGGAATATATGGGTTTGATTCCCCACTAGATTGTCAGTTCCTTGAGAGCAGGGATTGTTATATATCTTCGTATTTCCAGTGCTTTAGAGTACTTGGTATATAGCAAGCATTTAATAATAAATGTTCAATAACTATCCCTACACTGGCTCTAAGACCTTACATAAGTCACTCATCATTCTAGGCCTTAGTTTTCCCCTCTGCCAAATGGAAATGTTGGGCCTGATACTCTCTTAGGTGTCCTTCAGCTCTAATACTATGAATCTCTGTAAATTTACTACTTTAACTTGTTTGCCTTACTCAGGCAGTGAACACATGTACCATTTATCCTCAGGATGCATGCTAGCGCTTATATATTTGTGCATTTGGATTTCCAACTCCCTCCCTATT